GCTGGCCTCTTCATCCTCATAGCTCCAGACCTCTCCCAGGCCTCTCCATAGCCCCTCCGGGCTTCCCAAACTCTCCCAACTAGTCTCAATACCGCCTTCCACGCCAGCATCAGACTGACCTGATGAAACGCAGGAGACCTCAGTCTGCTGTTCAACGCTAGGCCTGGTCAGCCCAACCTACTTTCCTAGCCTCCTCTTGCTTCACATGATCCTCCTGCTTCTGCTCTTCTTGTCATCTCTGCACACATTTCTCAAACTTTGTACACGATTCCCTCCCATCCAATGGAATGCTTTCCCTTGCTCCTTCTGAGCCCTGGATCAAATGCCACTTCTTTTTTCTGGGCTCCTATAGGTGGAGCTGGCTGCTTCTTCCTCTATATTCCCAGAGCAACCACATACCTCAAGTATAGCCTGTACTGCTCAGCATTAGGATGATGTGTGTGTGTGGTTCATTTTCCAACAAGTCCATGAACCTCTTGAGGGCAACAAGGCACAGATATCTTGTTCAGTTCTGTACCCCTTGTCCCTATCACAGGGGCTGGCAGAGTAGGTGCTCAATCGATGTTTTGTAAATAAGCCCGCTGCTAAGATGGATAAACCAGCAAAAGTAACCTTCGCTTTCTCTCCCAGGCTCCTGAGTCTGCTTCCATTTCCCTACCTGAAGCACAGTGAAGAGCTAAACTGTGAGAGCCTCTGAGGGCATAGAATGGAGCATGGCAGGGTGAGAAAAAGGGAAAGAGAAAGATGAAGTAAAGGAAGCTAACGCTGGCAGCTGCCCTGAAAGCCTGGATGGAGGCTTCTTCAGGGGCATTGGTTTGCCGGTGGAGCAGGCAGGACTCCAGAGCTTGACTGGGGAAGGAGCACCGAGCACCTTCTTTCCCCACCTTAGTGTAAACAGATTGGGTGGCTGGACCAGAGCCAGGCCTCCCTGGCCCTCTGGAGGTCCTGTTTCAGACACAGATGCTAGGAGGACAAAACATCAAGCAGGCCCCACCACCTTATCTCTTTCCCACAGCTTAGGATTTCCTAACAGGCGGACACACAGGCACCTTCCCAGGGTAGCAGCTGCTGCGCTGGCCCCCTCCTTCATCAAGTCAAGTCTTGTCTGAGGCTCAGAACACCCACAGGGCCACCAAACCGGATTTTCCTTTGAAGCTGGAGGATGAGAAGGAGGAGAGAAGGAGGGCCTGTGGTCTAGTCACAGACCAGGGCCCACATGTGCAATTGCCTCTTTCCAGATGGGCCACCCAGGGACCACTCTATTGGCAGCTCCATGCTCTCTTGGGAACTATACTAGTTCAAGAAAATAGGATGCTCTGAGCTTGTAAAGTGGAAGGTGGTGGGAAGGCAGGGAGGCAGGCTCTGGTCTGCCAAGAGGGCCTGGCCATAGCCCAACAAAAACCTGGCACAGATCAAACTATCAGGATGCCAATTAGCCAATGCTATGATTTACAGTCACAGGGCTGCCATAATTGGCTAGGGGTAGTGGGGGACCCAAGGGACAGGAGAAGTGAATCCGCAGAAGACAATACTGCTGTTCCAGATGTTTCTCCCCTGGGCCCAATTCCGATCCTTCGTTCCCCTAACAGGAAGCCAACACCCACGGGATCCCAGAGAACACAGCTCCTCACCTCATCTGGCCTGTTGCACTGAGCAGACTGAAGCTGGGTGGGAAGCTCCAGCCTCAGGCCAGTCCTGGCGATCACATGGGAAAAGCAGAGGGACGTCAGGGTACCTCCCTGAGGCCAGGTAAGCTAGGATCTGTATCTTCCCTTCCCTTCCTGACTACCTCCTCTATACTACAAAATGGACACCCACCCACCCCCACCCCAAAATAAACAGGTCTGCTCTTCCCACCCCCAACGTTATGGGAATAGAAATGATTCCTCCCACCTTCCCTGCGGAGGACACTTTTTCCTCCCCTTCTGGTCCTTCCTGGGTTCAACGGCCAGCTCCGTTCCCAGCCAAGCCAAAAGCACGAAGGCTGCCAGCACCCCTGTGTCCATGCCACCCACAGGCCCTGCGCTGGCTGGCTGCTTTCTTTCCTTTCCCCACTTACTGGCTTCTGCTCAAAAGCGGGTAGTGATCATCTCAGTCCCACCAAAGGTTCCCTGCAGCGTAAGCTCAAAAGACAGAGAAGGTAAAGAAGTAGAAAGGCCTAGGACTAGGAATCAGGTTGGGGTTCAATTGCTGATGTTGCTCCTAATAGACTGACGAGATAAGGCTGCTAATCACTGCTCTCAGACTCAGTTTATCAATCTGTATGATGACAGCCATCTCTAAGGTCACTTTCAGCCTTCTGACTTGAAATACCTGGCAGTAAATGTCATTCTGTAAATAAGTATTACCTGAGCGTTTACTGTGCTGCAGGCCTGCGGAGACAAGGTAAGCCTGGTGCCAGCCCTAAAGCTGATGGGTCTAATGAACTGGTCATGACCCACACCCCACCTGCTGAGGGAGTCAGCGGTGCTGAGCCGAGCCAGGGAAGGTGCGGGTAGGTGGGTTCCTGCTAGGAACCTTATGTTCTACCTGCCCAGCACCTGATTTTCCGCTGGGACCATAGACCATATTAACGGATGGCGAAGGCAGTGGAAACTGTCCTGACCTGGGAGTCAGAAACCCTGGCTTCAAGTCCTGGGTCTGCTAATATGCTGTGTAATATGAAGTAAGTTATGTTCCTCTCTGGGCCACGGTTTCTTCATCTGTATAATGCGTAAGGGTTAAGTTGATCAATCTAAGATTCCTTCCAGCTCAAACAGTCTATGTTAAGATGCTCTCATACTGGGCACCTAATAGCCACCTGAGTGGGATAGCCTCTGGCCTCCTTTTCTTCCCATCCCCCAGCCCCCAATAACTGTCAAAACTGACGGTTCTGAGACAACCTTTGGCCCGGGATGCCTGAAATGGACCTTTAATCTGGTGTCAGAGTCCCGCCATCTCCACTGCAGCCATCAGTGCTAATGTTTCACTTCTCTGGAATAGCACATGGACTCCTAGCCCTCAACCACGAGACTGGGTTCAGGGCGGTCACCCTGAAACTTCGAATAACTTCCCCTCTCCAGCCGTGGGCAGGGACTTAACTTTTGGCTTTTCTGGAACCACAACATAAACAACGCAGGGAACATCAAAGCTTTCAGACACCAGAGATTTTAGGGTGACCTACAGGGTCAAGAAAGTGAGGCAGGGAGAGAGGAGGGGACCCGGGACCCCACCTCAGCCCAGGCCTACAGACACCAGCGGTGCAGAGGCGTCTGCAAAGCCTGGGTCTGTGGTTAGAGGGTGGGGGAGACAGCTGTCTGGCGGCCTGGTTGGGGACGACAGCCAAAGGGAGGTGCTCCCACTGGGGCCTCTCTCTGCCTCTGTCTACAAACACCAGAGGTACGCCCTCATTTTTCTCCTCAATCTTCAGACCCTTAGAAGGAAAAGAAAGAAAACTAGCATTTTCTGGGCCACTACTAGCACCAGGTGCTGTGCTAACCCCTTCACATACCTGATGCCTTTCACCCCCAGTCAGGCTGGGAGGAGGCGTCACTGTGGCCCTTTGCAGAGAGCAAACAGGCTCAGAGAGCGGGGATCTGCCCAAGGTCACACAGCGGGAAGTGGGGTGCTTCCTCTCCGCCTTCCCCACTGCAGCACGGCCCTTACCATGCCGTCTGGTTAATCCTGTAAACCTGCGGTGGGCTTTCCTATCTCCCAGAATTCACCAGCAGGTCCCAGCTCTCCCTTCCAAGAACCCACAGATGCAACTGGAAACCCCTTCCACTTCCCAAGACCCCACCCCTCCCGGGGCCCTGAGCTGCTGCCTGCCCCTCAATTGGAAATACACCTCCATCCCCTTTGGGGTCTCCCGGGCTCATCCCCAGGGAACTGTGACAACCGGCTGAGGCCTAGGGTCCGAGTGAGGGACTGGCTCAGCCTGGGGTGAGCAGCTAGTGGGGAGGGGAGAGCCTCCTTAGGGGAGGGGCCTCCGCGTCTCCAGGGGAGCACCCCGGAAGTGACCTTGCCGGGGCTGCCCGTGGGGGGTGGAGCTCTCACACTTCCAGCAGCCGCCAGGGAGGCTGCAGGGGCCGGGGGTGGTCCCAAGCGGTGGGAGCGGGGGAGGAAGGGCCCGGGAGTAGGGTCCCGGCCCCCGCAGCGCTGCAGGCCCCCAGGTAACTTTAGGGGGCTGTCTCTGTTGCAGGGGAGGCCCGGCCCCAGGGAGGCCTGTCAGTTCTGTGCAGAACGCTGGTCTCCGCGACAGCACAGCTGGAGTGGGGGGTGGGGGGGGGCTGGGGGTCCAGATCCATCTTCGCTCAGGGGCCCGTCGGCCTGTGCATCCATCTCTCTGAGGCCTGGGCCCTGGGGGTGCCCCCCGGGGGTACCCCACAGCTCCCCCGGACCCCCAACTTCCCTGCCCTGGCGCCTGGAGGGCCTGGGGACTCCTGGGGGCTGGGGAACTGGGATGCCCGCTTGGTTCCCCCACCTGGACCCCCTTTCCCCAGGGCGCCCCATTTTGCAGGGGAATGCACAAAAACCGGCCGGGAAGCCCCCGCTGGGGGGGGGAGGCACTTGAACCCCTTGTGGGCCCCGGGGAAGGGGGGCAGTCTGGCCCCACCTGGCCGCCCCCCCCCTTCCCCCCTGGAAAGGGAAAACACTGGGACCCCTCTTGCCAGGG